GTAAAATCATTGCATTGTGAACTTGGTGAAAACATTTTTGTATAGTAAATATTATCAAAAGATAAAAACTAATACTAATATATTATTTTTAGACTTATTCATGAGCACTCAACGTACATGTATGTCAATTCAGAGGTTTCCTTGCCATACTTAATATATGTAGAAATTCAACAACCACAATTTGACGTTTACATAGATTTAATCTATGAAATTGGGTGCTCAAAAGATTGATTTATTTACAGGAAAAACAGTAAATTAATTAGTCAAAGAACATTATATATATTACCAGAAAAAAGTGAAAATACGACAGGAAGTTCTCCCGCATGTCCAAAAGATTAATGTGTCTGGTAATCCAACCACTCATTGAATGTCGCGCACATGTTTTTTGCGAGAAACCGAAATCGAAGATTTGAAAGGCTTCTTGCTCTATGTGGGGACATATTTTCTTATTCAGCACTAGTGTAATTGTTTTTAGGTAATTGAGACATTTCTGATAAAAATTGTATCCAGAAACATGATATTTTAAAACGGAGCCAAAAACGACCCCTGGAGATGCCTGAATTATTTGTGGAGGAAAATAAAACATCTGTCTAAACTCCTACTTTGAACTCCTATTTAAACGTGACAGGCCTAAAAGTATAATTTTGAAAGAGTAGATTAATACAAGATTGGTAAATTGAACAAAGTTCAATTTAAGACTCCAGATTGATTTACTTGAGTAAAGAGCTGAGTAAGTAACTGAGTAGGAAGCTGAGTAGGTAGATCATTAAGTATTTCAGTAAGTAGCTGAGTAAGTAGCTGAGTAGGAAGCTGAGTAAGTAGCTTAGTAAGTAGCTGAGAAGTAGGTAGCTAAGTAGGTAGCCGAGTAGGTATGTAGGTATAGGTAGGTAAGTAGGAATTTTTGAAGGTATATTTGATGGATCTGCATTGTGGATACTGGCAAATGTGAATTTTAAAATGGCGTAGAATCTAAATCGGGAGTCGGATTGAAAGTTGATTTGCAGATTTGGATTCCTGAGAAAATTCTACCCTTAATTCATAAGTCATAAGTTAAAGGAGAACTTTTTATTTTGACCTACATAGGTCGGGGTCCCCTTCTTTTATAGGCTTTCATTATGTTAAGCTGTCCTCATAGTGGGCTGTATAGCAAGGTTGGTCGGGGTCGGGAGCTGGGGATAATTTTATTGCTTAAATATAACCATATCATCATCCTACATTAGAATCCACTCAGTCTAACATCAATTTCTGGTGCGAAAGTTGTCATTTTTGAGTTTAACCCCCCTTGATGACAAATTCTTGGGGGTACTATGACAAATGCTTATAACTAAAGAAGTATTTATTTGATCATCTTCATTTTTGGCATGGGTAATGAACAGGTATGTAAAAGTAAAATTTGAAAAATTCATACAAATCGGGTGATTAATCCATTCTAAAGATAATAATTCAGGTATTTTCAAGGGTCAATTTCAACATTTCTGAATGTCGCCATGAAGTAAAAATGACATTATGACCCAATGACATATTTATTGAATGTTTTTAGGCTTTAGAAAATAATTTGACTATATAAGCTAAAATAATAACATGAGAATTGTACCATATTGATAATTCTTCATCGCCATCCAGGCACAAATAAACTCCCCCCTCCCCCATTTTCGAATATAAAGGTCTATACCTGAAACTTCCTCAAATAGCTATATTTCAGAAACTATTACAGCCTACATTCCAAAATTTCTCATGGTGATTATACACATCATACTCTGCATAATAGACATATAATTGAGATTTATCCATTCTATATCTAATAATTAAGGTATTTTCAAGGTTCAATTTCAGCATTTTCAGAATGTCGCCATGAAGTAAAAATTACATGACCCAATGACATATTTATTAGATGTTTTTAGGCTTTAGAAAGTAATTTGACTATATAAGCTAAGATAAGAACATAAGAATTGTACAATATTGATAATTCTTCATCGCCATCCAGGGATAAATACCCCCCCCCCCCATTTGCGAAAAGAAAGGTTTTTACCTGAAACTTTCTCAAATAGCTATACATGTATTTCAGAAACTATTACAGCCTCCATTCCAAAATTTCTTATGTTGATTATACACATTAAAATCTGCATATTATACATATAATTGAAGTCTTAACACTTTTTTGAGGGTGTAGCTAAGAATAATAGTATATTTATTAGACATCTTTGAAATCAAAATATATGTCTTAGAAGGTTGTTACAACACTACAAGAGAGATATTTTGGATTGTCATCATTTTTGAAAATATTACAAAAACATATTCATATTATGCAATAATCACCTATTTTCATTTAACATGATTGAAATATATTACTAGTATCCAGCTAGTTTTAATGATTTCAGTATATGCATTTAATCAAGCAGTTGAACATTGTGAGTTATCAACATCACCTGAACATATTTCATCTATGAAATTGTTGACTTCATTATCTGTCATATCATTATCAATTTTGTCATCTGATTCTTCGTTATAAATGTCTACCAACTCTTGTGGAAGAATGGCATTTGGATTTTCAGCCCATTTTATATCAAGTTCGCCATTTTCTAGGATCCATCCATTTTCTGCTGGAGAAGGTATATCCATTTGGGCTTTGTGAGACTGCTTCCATATGTAAGCTTGGTAGTTACATCTTTTACAATGTTGAACAAGGGATGACCTGCATTGAGGAGGGAGACTGATGTCTATCCCATCATAGTTGTTGATAGAGGCTTGAGGTTGAAATCTGTTTGCAAAATTTATGTATCGTACATGATTGATGTCTGTTTTTTTCTTTTCCCTGTACAAGATGCACACAAATCTGTCGAGTTCTTGAAGATGCCTTTTGTCAAGAACTGTAGATTTTCCAAGTTCTTGAAAGATTGCATGCATGTCCTCCCTCTTGATCAGCTGTTTCAGAGGGTTTATTTTTCCCTTTCTCATGAAGGCACTGGTGGTATCACACCCTGTAAAACAGTGGATACCGATCAGGATGGCTGTGATTGGATCACCCAAACATCAATGAGGCGCCTCTTGTTTGAAACTCCAGTGTCAAACAGTACTTTGAGAAGTAGGTGTTTGATGTAATGTAGCAGGAGTATGCGTACATCTGTGTCTGGAGATCTGACAAGTATGGTCTTGGCCTCAGCCCCCACCTGCCTTGATGCATATAAAGCATGGAGAATGATTTTTGTGTCAGCTTCATCATGGTTGCACCTTAGGTCTAGGACTTCCTCACTAACAACATGTGACCCATCACTTGTGAGTAAGAAGCACTTCTCCTGACAGACAAAGTAAATTGGCTTGTTCTGAATTTTTTGCATATTTGTCCTTCTTCCATTCTGCGAGGATAAGTTGGAAAAGCTGAATTTTGTTTTTGCTATATTTGAAAGGAAGTCCTTCCAATTTTTTGAGACCTTAATAGACCAAGAGGCCGATGCCAAGACTATACTTGTCAGATCTCCAGACACATATGTACTCATACTTCTGCTACATTACAGCAAACACCTACTTCTCAAAGTACTGTTTGACACTGGAGTTTCAAACAAGAGGCGCCTCATTGATGTGAAGAAAGTTGCAGCATGTTTGGGTGATCCAATCACAGCCACCCTGATCGGTATCCACTGTTTTACAGGTTGTGATACCACCAGTGCCTTCATGAGAAAGGGGAAAATAAACCCTCTGAAACAGCTGATCAAGAGTGAGGTCATGCATGCAATCTTTCAAGAACTTGGAAAATCTACAGTTCTTGACAAAAGGCATCTTCAAGAACTCGACAGATTTGTGTGCATCATTTACGGGGAAAAGAAAAAAAACAGACATCAATCATGTACGATACATAAATTTTGCGAACAGATTTCAACCTCAAGCCTCTATCAACAACTATGATGGGATAGACATCAGTCTCCTTCCTCCATGCAGGTCATCCCTTGTTCCAGCAGAAAATGGATGGATCCTAGAAAATGGCGAACTTGAAAATCCATATGTCATTCTTTCACAAGAGTTGGTAGACATTTATAGCGAAGAATCAGATGACGAAATTGATGATGATATGACAGATAATGAAGTCAATAATTTCATTGATAAAATCTTTTCAGGTGATGTTGATAACTAACAATGTTCAACTACTTGAAGCAAATGTTGAAGTGAATACTCAAGCAAATTGTATTGGTGAAGTTATTCAATAACATATTGGTCGAACATATTAATCATTATTGAATGTTGTCAAGCATATTGACTGAATGTTGTCAATTGAATGTTTAGTCATCGGTATTGATTATCCTAAAGCATACAGATTTAAAGCTTATAGTTTTATGCTTAGAAACTAAATTACAAACAAAAAAGAAATAATTACTTCATGAATATCAAACCTAAGTGCATCTCAGGATTAAATGCATATACTATGATCATTTAAACTAGATGGATAATATATTTCAATTATGTCAAATAAAAATAGGTGATTATTGCATAATATGAATATGTTTTTGTAATATTCTCAAAAATGATGACAATCCAAAATATCTCTATTGTAGTGTTGTGACAACCTTCTAAAACATATATTTTGATTTCTAAGATGTCTAATAAATATACTATTATTCTTAGCTACACCCTCAAAAAAGTGTTAAGACTTCAATTATATGTATACGAGTAATATGCAGATTTTGATGTGTATAATCAACATGAGAAATTTTGGAATGGAGGCTGTAATAATTTCTGAAATATAGCTATTTGAGAAAGTTTCAGGTAAAAACCTTTCTTTTCGCAAATGGGGGGGGGGTATTTATCCCTGGATTGCGATGAAGAATTATCAATATTGTACAATTCTTATGTTATTATCTTAGCTTATATAGTCAAATTATTTTCTAAAGCCTAAAAACATTTAATAAATATGTCATTGGGTCATGTAATTTTACCTCATGGCAACATTCCGAAAATGCTGAAATTGAACCTTGAAAATACCTTAATTATTAGATATAGAATGGATAAATCTCAATTATATGTCTATTATGCAGAGTATTATGTGTATAGTCACCATGAGAAATTTTGGAATGTAGGCTGTAATAGTTTCTGAAATATAGCTATTTGAGGAGGTTTCTGGTATAGACCTTTATATTCGAAAATGGGGGAGGGGGAGTTTATTTGTGCCTGGATGGCGATGAAGAATTATCAATATGGTACAATTCTCATGTTATTATTTTAGCTTATATAGTCAAATTATTTTCTAAAGCCTAAAAACATTCAATTAATATGTCATTGGGTCATAATGTCATTTTTACTTCATGGCGACATTCAGAAAATGTTGAAATTGACCCTTGAAAATACCTGAATTATTATCTTTAGAATGGATTAACCACCCGATTTGTATGAATTTTTCAAATTTTACTTTTACATACCTGTTCATTACCCATGCCAAAAATGAAGATGATCAAATCAATACTTCTTTAGTTATAAGCATTTGTCATAGTACCCCCAAGAATTTGTCGTCAAGGGGGGTAAAACTCAAAAATGACAACTTTCGCACCAGAAATTGATGTTAGACTGAGTGGATTCTAATGTAGGATGATGATATTGTTATATTTAACACTATATGAAATAGAGAATATTGCTTTGTTATAAGCAGTGTCTATTTGTAAGAATCTCTTGTAATGTGCAGTAATCAGCAAAAATACTCAGCACATATAAACAGAGACAGTACAGAGACAATACTCGCTGCATATATGGAACACTCTGTATATTCAAGTATTGCTCCTCTTTATTTGTAGAACAGCACAAATAAGCACTGATTATACGTGGAGTTAAGAATACTCAAATATATGCAAACGCAATACTCTGTAAGTGTGCAATATAGTCACACATTATAATTGCCTCTTTCTGACTATATTAAGCTATTTCTAAGTTGCTCTGCTCATTTTATAACTGAGCATACAAATAAATAACGGGCTATTTGTGCGTATTTTTCTATTAAGCATGATAAAACAACACAACTAAAGAATGTAAGTACCATAGTATATGAATATGACTTTACCTGTGTATAATAAGCGACTACAGGATGGATTTCGAAATAATCTATTTTTACTATAATTGTGATTTTTCGACACCTTTTAAGTCACACCGGAAAAGAGAGATCTTCCTTGTAGTTATCAATAAGTTGCTAATAAAGAATACTTGTGCAAACCCATGTTTTTAATGGAGATCGCCCCCCCCCCCCCGACGGAAAGCTGGCTACACCGCTGAACTTGTTATCTCTACTTTTAGAGTCAATGCAACCTAATTCTTCCTGAGAAGGTATTATAATTTAACAACCTGTTACCACCGTTCGAATTAAATCATGGATTATGCATAGGAATTCAATTGTTTACTTTTTCAAATCGCTGCTTTGTTTTCCATTCCCCATGATCAAAGCAAATGGTAGTCTAGACTCTTTTGGTCATGTTTTCGATTGCATTTAAAATCTGCACATCAATTCAGAACCATAAAATATATATCACTGGAGCGACGTCCAACATCTTTTAATCCGCTTAATAAGTGATTCTTGCCTTTGAATTAAAGCCCATGTTAAATTCCTCCTGGTAAAGCCGGTATTTAGAAAAAAATATGACAGAAAATGGAATCGAAAGAAGATTAAATCATTTTATAGTGTTTATGTTTCAATCAGCGTTGATTTCATTGTCTTATATAACTCATTTACAGGAGTTTTGTATTCCCGATGCACTAGGTTATAGTTTGCCCGGAATAGTTTATTTATAATAAATTGATTTAAGTTTAAATAGAAAAGAAAGATAGTATTCTAATTTGAATTTTAGGAACTGGGTTTCAAAAACCGGCTTTTTAACTTCAGTTTGAAACTGGCTTTTAATAACCCTGCTTTTTGAGAAGTATAGATTGCAGATGTGGTTGCCTTCGTGTACTTTTCAATGTTTCGGTGCAGTTTTGTGAATCAAAATATCATTTTTTGATAACTTGATAATATGAGAATGAAGAGACAAAACCTGATCAGAGATACCCTTGTTTCTATTTTGAATTGGACCTTGCTTTGTTTTCCATTCCCAAAACTTTAATCCCTAATTATTCAATTCTTGCAAATGAGTTAAGTTCTCACTGATATTAATCCGTTTGATATAGTTAAATGGATTAATTTCTATAGCCAGTTTTTCTAAATCCCCGTGCTACATTGTATAATTAAATTTCTTTTAAATTCAGAAATTAACCGATTATCTCTGAAGGAATGCAAAAGGTAGTTCAACATTTTAAGGATACAACTGAACAAGGTGGGCATGGATACCGGGAGGGGGGACTTTAGCTACATTATTATCAGATGTTTGGATTGTTCACTTCTAAGGATGTTATTTTAGCGAGTAATGCAATCAGACGGCTTGTGCACAATGGTGTTACCTATAATTAGTTCTGGGATGATTTTTAAATCCATGGGAAAGTAATATCTGAGATCAAGGCATTTGTTGAAATAAAATATTGAGAATTTTAATACCAATTATATTTTCAATAATTTCATTTAGCGTATTTGATGTGAGTTTATCTTCTGCTTCCTCTAGCATCTGGGTTCATAGTAAATTATGATCCCGGGATTATGATGTAAAGTAAAAAAGGTTTTTGACTTGTAATACTAAATGTACGTGTACTTTGTCGAAATCTCTATCCTCGATTAAAGCTTTAATTATCGCAAAATAATAAACAATTGTATCAAAATATTGAAAACTATTACATGTCAAATGACAGCTTTTATTATGTGAAAATGTGAGTAAAATACACTACATCTGCAAATACATGTATGCAATCGCATTCAAACTTGATTGATTTAAATTGATTGAATGTCTAAAAAGAGCTTTAATAATATGTTTTACTTAAATCATGGTGAATGGCTTTCGAAACATTTGATTGCAACCCATATTTCAGTTTGGAACAAAATACTCAATCAGCGGCCGATGAATCGCGGCAAATGTGACCCAGACATAAGGGAGGAAAATACATTTGACCCAATAATCCCCTGCTGAATCCCCATATAGATAATATACACCAAGGCCTACACAAATATAAAATAAGGGTCCGAACAAATATTTTACAACTAGATAAGCCATTTATCTGATTAAATTATGTCTATCAATCTCTTGATTGCAGATTATTAAAGAGATACGTGTATTATGTCGGGAGGGGGTCAAGGATCTTGACGCAAGATTAATACAATTCTTAAATCATCAGAATGTCATTCAGATTTACTATGAATGAGCTTGTTATTTGAATTAAAACTGAATACATCAAAAAGTGAATTATTAGTTTGTATTTTGAATGCTAAGAATGAAAAGGTAATTCTATACAAATCACAAATACCATTCAAAACAATTCCTGGTTTCAACTATGAAGGTGCTTCTCCAAACATCCGGCCCCTATGTGCAATTGTGTCAGGTAATTAGTAATTGTTTATGTTTAGATTACTTATTAGAGATGTCAAATCATGGGTTCATCAAAACAGCATTATGACTGTTCAATAGCAGCAAAATGTCGCAGAATTTAGTATTTTATGTTTTAACAATATATTTTGTTATTGAATAACTAAAAATGAGGGGGTGGATATTGAGCAAACTGCATGTCTCCGAGCTATGATGCGCAAGTAATAATCGTACGTGACACGCACATAGGTGGTTGACAGGGAAACATTAAGCTTGCCAAATGACCAATGTCTGTTGAGTAGTAAATAATCATAAAGCCATACTGTGAGAATGTCTACACATTGGCGCAATCATGGGCTTTTGATTAGAAGCCCATGTCGCAATTTAGCCAGTCAGCCATTTGCTCCACGCCAGATCCAGGAACACGACGAAGCCTCTCGTAAGTGAAACTTTAGCTTGCTTTTTATTTCCCTTAATGGATAGATGATTGAGTTTGATAATGAAACAAAAAAAACAATAAAGACACCTGGCAGATTGTTGTAAACATAAGATTTGGCATTGATCTTGATAATTTAATAAATTGATTGTCTTGGAAGGTCCATGATACTGTATGGCTGAACAGTATGCTATAAACTAATGTCTTTGAATCATAGAATAAAATACACAGCAGTGTCTTTGTATCTTCAGAGGAGTGTCTTCAGAGCAGTGTCTTTGTGTGCAGTGTCAAATTTCCCGCAAAATAGAATTCATGTGATAGCTGAATTTACATAGATATTGAGAAACGTGTAGAAGACACTAGGATGAAGAAGAAAGGAGTTTGAATGGAGAAAGCAGAATTGAGAAATATGCGTACATTGATTTGGAGCATTAGTTCGCACCATTTTAAAGATAGAAATATAATGTTACATCATGTACAATGCAATGTAAATATATTCATTTAGCAGTATACAGGTTTGGCCAAAACATAATGAGTAAATCCATTTAAAAGTAAAATCATTATTAGGCTTATCATTCGAGAGAGAATATAATTTTCAATGATTTGAAATAGGCATTCATATTTTTGCCTACAATAATTATGTATCATTTAAAGGAAGAAATATAATTACAGTGCAATGTAAATATGTCTATATATGTATCAAGCGATATGAAAGGTGGATCAAAACATTCCCATCTTCAAGCGATATTATTTCACGGGGCTAATAAGTTGTAACAATGATTTTCTCCCTATATCATGACATGTATACTATTTGAAGTTATTACTTATAGAGGTCGTCTCATTGGCCTACTCTGTACATAGAAATCTAAAGAAATTTAAAATAAATTATAAAAACGTAAAAGCTGTTTATGTGCAGTTTTTTCAAATCTCTTACCCCAAAAAACAAGTACAGTAAACCAAACCTATAGCTACAACACTCAAATGCTCATAAATAGGAATTTACATTAACAGATGTTTATGCCCAATTCACAAAACAGCATCTACCGGTCCTCCTAAATAAGCAAGAATATGTCAAATATACCGATCTTGACTCTATATATGCTAATGTAGTTAGTTTATATTCTTGTGCATGTCTCAATATACTCACATGCTGCATATTACTTATCTCAAAATATGCAGAAATACTCATGAAAAGTGGCATATATGCAGATCATATGCAAATATAATCAGTTTTAATTTTTAACAGGATCCTAAGAGGTTCTGGACAAATCATTTGATTCTGGACTTGACATATTTTTTTTCCAACGAAATCACATCCAAGGGTTGAATTTTTATTGGATATTTAGAGAGCGAGTCCTGTATTGATTTCAATAAAAAGGTTAAAATAGAACGCTATTTGAGAGTTAATCTTATACTTTCATTACATTGATAAATTAAGGCAAATTCTGAAAAATTTTAAAGTGCATTTTTTATGAAATATTATCCAAGTATTTAGATGAAACGGTCTTATTTAAATACAAATCATAACATGATGATATTTTTTCATAAAATATTTCTTCAAGAAATTCAATTGAAGGCTCAAGATAAAACGAGCTAATTTAGGTGAAAAGCCTTACACGATGATGTGTTTTCATGACTTCTTTCATAAAATTCCATCAAGGGGTGAAAATAAAATGATCGAATTTAAGTGATTTAAGGATCACGAGGATAGGTTTTCTTGGATATTTTCTATGAAATCCCATCCAGTGGTCAAGGTAAAATTTTTATTTGGTATATTTGGTCACGTGTTCGAACCCATAGAACCATATAGGAACGTCATTTTGAATGTTACGTGATAAATCCATATAAGGCTTTTAGAACAATGTGGGGAAAGATGAGGGGAAACCCCTGACACCTGTTCACGATTTTATCCGAACGTTCATCGGATCATTTCGGTTTTTATGCACTTCATTATTCTACCGAAGTTTGCCGATTCGATTCGTCGTATTTCGGAATATTGGGGACAATTTTATACTCCATTGGGAGTATTTTTAATCTACTTCTTATTACGAAGATTCCCGAATCTTGTTCGGATTAATCCGGATTTTCTGACCTACTTCATCTACCGAGATTTAACGAGTTTACATTCGGCTCATTTCGGAATCCTGGTGACAATTTTATACTCCATTGGAGTATTTTTGATCTACTTCTTATGACGAAGATTTCCGAACCTTGTTCGGATTAATCCGGATTTTCTGACCTACTTCATCTACCGAGATTTAACGAGTTTACATTCGTCTCATTTCGGAATTCTGGTGACAATTTTATACTCCATTGGAGTATTTTTGATCTACTTTTTCTGGATTTTGCCCTACTTATTATATCTTTACAACAAGCAAATCAAAAAATTCCCCATGAACGGGTCTTGATCGACTAACCTAGAGCATGGAAGCTAGGCACGTTAGCCATGAGGCTAACGTGCAACCGATACGAAAGGATAAAAGTATTATATATTTATACCGAGCGTCAATTCAAAATGATCTTCACTTTTGACTGCACGTAAATACAACTCCCAGGCGAGTGGTTCGCACCCCACCGTGATATGTTATTTTTGCTTTTTTAATACGACAGAAAGGAGCAAGGTCACTGGCATGTAGCGGTCCTGATATCGATACATTCTACACGCAATAAAACCAGATACCTGCGTGTGATTAAAACTACATGTTAGAGCGTCGATATCCTACAAATCCTATTTTTTCATAAAAATATTTTTTCATGAAATCCAATCGAAGGGTGAAGATAAAACGATCTTTTAGGTAAAACAGCTTTACATGATCTGGTGATGTGTTTTCATAACTTTTTTCATAAAAGACCATTCTCGGTTTGGAGAACAAAGTTCGTCACTCTAATTGAGCGTTATCCCTGCTTCGGACAAATTTGATTTTTTTACATAATATAGATTTGAATGTCTTCTTTTGAATAGTCATAGTTTAATTTGGGTAATATTTCTAGATTTTTCATATAAAAATTACTAGTGAAACACCCAACGTCGCTTTTATGATTCGTACCACTTTTTTAACTTGGTGTATTGCATATTTCCGTGGGTTGATTTGAAAAAAAGACAAACAACGTATACATGAATATGTCATAAGCATATAGTGAGATAATTGTTAGATTAGGTTTGCTATAAGTGACTTTAAAACAAAAAAATTAAAAACATTAGTTCACGTGTTAAAGTCCCATTGACCACGACATCAAGGAAAATTGAGCTTTTTGTCATCAGACATCTTTATAGATGGAACTAGCTATGTACTACATTTTTAAATACACTCACATTGTACATGTAGCTGTAATATCTAAGATGTTATTTTTATTGATGAAAAGATTCTTACATACTAAAGTTACATTAAAATATCAATTGCAATAGCCACCTGTTTTTAACATCCCTTTGTCACTCATCCCTTAATTATCTCTGTGTATCTTAAACGTGTGTGTGTTCGATGTTGATAGCACCCGAGTGCAACCTAAGGAGCACATACAATACATTTTGTGTATGCCCAGTCTGGCCGCCTTATATCTGCCTGCACCGAGAAATGGGCGCAGCTTTGACAATTAACGAATGATATAACGATATCACGGATTTCACCGAATGTTATTCATCCCTAAATAGCTTTTTTATTTAGTCTTATGATCCGACTGATGTTTCAATTTTTTGCAGTGACTCTGAAATTGCTGCGCCAGATATGACATCACAGCGACTCATTTTCCTACATTTAAATCACTAAACTAAATCAATTGAAACATAATCATTAAAGAATGAGGACCTTGTATTTTACTTTGGACGAGGGTAGTGGCCATGTCTTGGCATGGCTAGTTGTGCATTAACGTTTGATACTGTTGTGCGGATAAAAATAATGAATATATGTTAAAGTAGCACTAAACAGATACTTTTAAAGTTAAAAGAATATAGTTACATTTAAAGAATGGGCCCAACGAATAGATATTGAATATAGGACTCGTTTGATGAAACGTTCGTTCTTTTAATTCTAATAAACCTAGAAATCAATCAACGATTAAGTAAATTGACAAGACTTCATGTTCAAGTTGGCTGAATTTCGTGTAACTTAACTCTGTTATGTTTCTAGATTTTACATATGGAGAACAGAATTCGAAATCATAATCACAATCGTATTTTAAGGCAAATAGGCCATGAATATGCTTTTAGTTACACGGTGGATGATCAAATTAACACATTTTGGATGTTGAATTTCATTTCAAGTTCATTCGAATTTACGCGTTATCGTGGGAAAGCCCATGGCATTATCCAATAAAATTGATATATATACTGTCTAGGCTGAGACTAACATATATAATGTTATTTAATGTATTTAATATACAGGATATATCTGAGAAAGTTATGCAATATATCTACACGAGAAATAGTAGGGACCGAGGGTTGATATATTACCTTTACCTGTCGAAAATCGAGTATAAACTATGAGGATTAGATACGCATTGAATGTAATGGAACCGTCATGTAATAATTAGAAATGATAATCACAATCAAATCATGAATATTTTATCTAGATTTAAAGTGCTTAAGATTTATTTTTAAAACTCAACCGAACTATTAACATTTAAAAGCACCGAACGAATTTTCTGGGGATTGCTGATGAGCGGGTGGGATGGGATGGGAGGGATAAAATGAAATACTAGATAAAATATTGATACCTTTACGCATGTCAATCTCAAATTAGAATGCATATATCATTATCTCTTTTATTCTTCTGTATTGTAATACGATAGTCTGATTATTGTCAATATCCTATACATGAAATAATGTACAACGTGTATTCTACATTGAATAACAAACGAAATAAAACTCATCTTTGTACGAATTTATTTTTCATATGACACAAAGTAACATAACATTGTTATATGTTGCATTTACGACTACTACAGCAAATCAGAAAATTCGTACAATATCAAACGTAAGAGTTGTTCACAAATACATTGGTATTTTGATATGAGTATCATGTAGTATTAAAATATTAAAATCATATGATCAGCAAGTTTATAAGCTTAATATTGTATTGTTTTTTATTTAAGTGTCGCATGCTTAATTTCATACATATACATCTGTACAATCATCCAAAAAGCCTCGAGCCACCAATGGCTTATGAGACACTGCTAATCAAAATAAATCATATAATATTATATAATAAGATGCATAATATGAGTCAGTTGCAGAAATAGGATTATGAATAAAGCAAAGTTCATGACCTCTATTACGAACATTGTTTGATGAACTCGATCACTCAGTCAGTTGTTGAACATATGCAAATGTGGTCAGGTTATAAATATAAGTACAATTTAAGTCCATGATATTTTCACATATTGAACATAACACTCAGTTCACAAAGAGATGTATACAAATCTAATCCACAAGTAGAAATGATTGTTTCATGCTGTTTATGCATTGTGTATAAACTGTAATCCAAAACATGAATAAAGTGGGCAAGAGGTGGTTGTATGATGGCCCATAAAATCACATTATGTAACACCGGCACCCTGGTTCAATATAGTGCAGTGGCCCATGTTTGATATACGTACATCAAAACTCATGTTTTTTCAAGGAAAGAAGCTAGATTAGTGATATATTGAAAAATCAAACTACTATACCCCAATACTGTAGCCCGTATTTCTTTAAAAGGAATACAGGCTACAGTGAAGTTGCAAATGGAGGACCTTTGTTTATTTCCATAGTTCTGGAGGAATACTAGATTTTACATTGTATAGATTCATCGAGCAGTTTGCAACGCACTATCACCAGAAAAGTCCTATGGAAAAGGACAAAGAATACCCGCTCTATTTGCAACTTAACTGTACCCTGTATTCTTTTTAAATTTGTTCACGTGGTAGGGTAGTGTGATACTCCCTCTGCCTATGCCTACATCGTTCAATCTTTTTTTCATAGTATAACGCCTTATTAATACAACAGTTATTGAGCTGTTAAGAAAACATACTAACAAACAAACCACCGAGTTTAGAGTAAGACATATACATGTATTGTTCTATTATCAAATCATATATTGTGTCCCAATTCTAAAACGTTAACAGTTTGTGGTGTACAATAAAACTATTACTATTAACCACTTTAATATATTTAGACATAAAATATCAAGTTACTCATCAGCCAACAAATCTCAAAATATCGAAAAATGAAAAATACGAGGTACTTGTTCACTCAAATCTAGGAGTCAATTGGTAATGTGTACCTATAGATAGTTCTCAAAGTAAATGAGCAAAAGCGTAACATTTGTATGTAGCATGCTTCATAAAACACTAAACTTAGCCCAAAAAGTAAGCGTGCATTTTGTTCCTGGCACTGATTGGTTAATAAGTGAATACAATTCGTTGAATGCACGATGCACTCAAAAGATTAGCAGCTGGGAAAGGCTATTGAACAAAAAGTACGCTTTCGTACTCAAAAAAGGATTACCCTTTTACAACTTTGACAACTTTGAAGCATGAACTTCGGAAGATCTAACGAAATGTACTTACTGTTACCCTGTGGATCCCAGGGTTTTGATATGTTCTACAAAGTCATGCAAAGACAGACCATATATGCACTAAAAATATCTGTGACACTTGTATGATATGTATTCCACTTTGAACCACCATCTATTTCAATATTGTGAAAATATATATTTCCCAAATTATGAAATAAAGGAGCTTGTATTCGCGAATGCCGCTAACGCCTGTCGGCTACCGGATAAACCTACTTTACTATTTTATGGGCAATTCATTAAAATATTAATGGAATATTGTCAGGTTCTTTTCATATTTAAATGAGTCGCCCATAGAATGGTAGGTTAATCCGGAAGCTGAAATCTTCCATTCCCAAATCATAGTCTTAGCTTGTATTCGCAAATGCAACTAACGCCTGTCGGCTACCGGATTAACCTATTATTTTACTGGAAACTCATGTTAATACGAATAGTACCTGCCACTATTCCATTCATATTTAAATGACTTGGTCATATTATACTGGGTTAATCAGGTAGCCGGAAGGCGTTAGTTGCATTCGCGAATATAAGGTTAGCTTGTATTCAATAATGCAAGAAACGCCTGTCGGCTACCGGATTAAACTACCTCTGGAGTCATCGGGATTTTAAAGCGGCGTGCAAAGCGTAATCGGGTACACCCCAGTTCTCCGAAACCCAGTTGTCCGAAACCCATTACTCCGAAAAATAAAGTCATAATTTACCAGAGAAAGCGGGGGGCGTAGCTTACTTAAACGTACGTCAGTTTCATGCCATGTATTTGGCCAAATTAATGGCATGGACGCATTCTGTTATTCATAGATCTCTCTCTCACTTTGAATTGCATCCATTGCATGGCGTTACCAGAATGGCAGGAACGGGAGATTTATTTTACATTGTGATTCTAAAAAAAGGTTATTAAAACACAATATATATTACGGAACAGTTTATCTTATCTTCTTCAATCTCTTTTATATAGGCAAAATAAAATGAAACATTTTGAAACAGATAAAATAATTTATCGCATAGAACTTTAAGAATAAAACAGTATACAAATTACGTTGTCAAAATATTTCGTCGCATTTAATTTCTTAGTCTCGGTCTCTTATCAAATCGTAAAAGAATAAAACATTCTATACTTAATCACTTGGGATTTATGTTTCGGCATTCGTTTCAGGCATTTGTTTTTTATGTTCTTCTCCTGAAATGTATTTGTTTGACAATAATCAGAGAAAGTGCGTATACGTATAAATATGCCACGCAAACAAACGGGTGTGACTTCAATTTCTTGTCTGTCTGAGGACGTATTGGGAACGAGGTAGAATTAAAGAATTCTTATGAACGAGTCATGCAAGATACTAGAACTAGTAAAGTAATGTAAATGGATAAGTTAATTTCTGATGGATCTGGATATAATATATTTCAAAACTTTGTAAACACTAGATAACTTCATTTAGGCAGATATAGTATCTTGATATATTTGGCTATCATGCGTTTAAAATACGTTCCTAAAACTATGAAGACGTTAGGTGAGAAATATTGCTATTGTACGTTCGAAAAGTATTTGGTTGTATTTTGTAGTTCTCAAGTTACCCATGAACTTTCGTGGGCTAATTAACGTCTTGACTTAGCATATTTAGCCTAATTTTGCAATGATGTCAACGTGATTCAAATGTTATGCTGTCGTGATTCGCAGAGGTTGCGACAAGATTCGTTTTACAACAGATGTAACTATGAGAACATGAAAGCTCATAATCCTGATTATGCAACCTTATACAATCGTTATCTTTGGGACAAGAGCCCAAAAACAAGGTACTCGTGAACGAGAGTTGAATTTGCTCCGTGAACGATAGGATACGCTGTTCCCCACCAACAAAATACAGACATATGCTTCAGTGTCCTCAGCGCAGATTGTAGAGAACAAGAGAAAAAATGAAATATACTTTGCCATAACAGAATACTGTTAAAGTATTGTTTATTAAGTTTATTAAGTTTCACAAATAACTTTTAAATGCCTTCTTTACCGTCAACGGACACTCAAATAAATACACAATACAATGCAATGCAATGTAATGCATTACAATACAAACTAAATTAGAGTATTTGTGCATAGCATTTTCCCCTTTTGTTTGAAGGATATTTTAAGAATAATTCCAGCGTTCGTACAAACCTGGAAATGTCAGGGTTTTGATTTAATTTTCCAAGTGCCTGAAATGTCAGAGAATTTTAAAATAAGGTCAAAAAGGGCCAAAGAGTCCGGGAATTTTGAAACTGTAGACATGTCATGGAAATGTCAGGGAAATTTGTATCAGTGTTGAAAAAATGATGTTCCAGAAAAATAAATTTTAGGACTATGACAGGATTTCAATGAAATCCAAAATGTAACATTTAGTTGATTCCACACGGGGCGTGTACATTGTCTAACATATATCTAAAAGGTTTACACTGTCTTGATTAATGAACTTCTTAGATCTAGTCGCGCTTCAGAAGTGGAAATCCTTCAATTATCAGAGGTTAATGTTTCTAAAACTGTATTGAAATAAACGTACGTCTTGTTTTCAAACCTACACCTTGCTCCTTTCTGTCGTATTAATAAAGCAAAAATAACATATCACGGTGG